TATGGTTTGTACTAAAACTCATTCGAGAAACTATAAATAAAATCCCAAGTAGCCCTGAAAATCTAAACCTCTATATTGAGAGTTTAGATCATGCAGAATGTTAAAGAAGTAAAATAAAATATACAAATTTACTACCGGACGAACTAATACCTACCTATATGAACTAATACCTGCTCATATCTACTGAATTTACACTAACAAAAAAAAATTAATTATAAGCGCTTTCCAATGTAACATTTCTATACATATTCAGTTAAAATTGGTAGCTTATGTTAACTCATGTTTTTTTTTTTACTGGTATCAATTAAATTCCTCGTTTGAAATGAAAACTATTATATTTAATCAGTTTCAGCACAACTGTAACATTTATTTTTAATAGTTTTCCTGATATTTGAAAACTAAAACATTATCATAGAAATATTAAATAAATGATTTACAGAACAATCGTTTAAAAAAAAAATGTAAACGTTTCTACTCATTCTATGTTGATATGAGTGTGCTATGTATTATATACATATTTTTACCAAATAATGCAATGATTTCAAGATCCCTGATTATCTTTTTTTTTTATTGAGCTATATGTCAGAAATATACAGTAGCAATAAAAGTATAGAAGAATAGAACAAAAATATCAAATCAATAATCAACATATTGATATTATAACTATTTTTTATTTCAACGTCGAATTTGTTATTATTGAAATTAACATTAACCCGTAGCAATTTTTATATATTTTTAAAAATAAGTACACGTTTTGCATAAGGATTATTTTTTTATTTTTTTTGATGAGGCAAAATTCCTTTAATCTTGTAAAAATTTTAGTTTTTAAGATGCATTATTGATTTCATAAAGTGATATATGAACCTTTCAGATTAAAGCTCGAAAATTAAGCTTTAAATCACCCGAGGCAAATGAAATTTATATTTATAAATCACGAAGTAATTTAACGCGTTTAGGAGATTAAAAGGTTTAAGCGATATGTGGTTAATTATAGGTTGTGTGAATTCTTTAAATATTTCATTTAAAATGTATGCATGGGACCTGGAGTTTAATCTCGATGACAGATGGTAATTATCGGCGATAACATATAAGTTTTAATAAAGACATGAATACTATATAAAACTTTTTGAATATTACATAAAACGTTAGAATAAGTAATATTCTGAAACATACGTTTAAGCTATTTCTAGTTTATTTCTTGGACATTGCTAAAATTTGGCAAAACACGGTAAAACATATCTGACTAGAAAAAAAAAATTAAATGTTTCAGTAATTCTGATACAAACTAAAAATGAATTATTAATACAGTTCATTCCTGTTTTTTTTTCTTGTATTCACAATTTTCAAATTAATCGACACGCGCATTCTTCACGATGTTTTTTATAGGCGAATTAAAGATCTATCTTTAGCCACATCAGTCGTCATTTCATAGAGGAGAATAGAAAGATTTAAAAAACACTATATAAATTGATAATTATTTTTTCTCATATTCGTGGACAAGATAAACCAGATTGGTTACTAGCGAAGTTTTATATATATTTTTAAATTATTTATAATCACAGAAGACAAAAAAATAAATAAAATATTTTTTACTTTATTCAAATATCCAATTTTAAAATATGTTAAATTGCAGAATCCCTTTCTTTGCATTTTTCTCCAATTTTGAATCATTAAAAATACTAAATTTATATAGAATACTAAAAATTACTAAATAGAAGATTTAGCAGATAACTGGAAAGTTGGGGAGTTAGTAGTAACTCTCCAGAACAAATACAAAAATAAACATAGTCTTCTTTAGGATATAATGAGTTTGGAACATTATTAATAGTAGTGCATAGAAAAGCTTAGAAACAATCTACAATTGACATCTTGAACACAATTTTTCGTTGCCCGATGGAACGAGTAATTAAGAGAATTTTATTTGTATTTATTAAGAGAATACAAATATGAAAATTATAATTATAAATTATTAAAGAAGATATTAAGCCGGAATAAAACCTATAGGTTCTATAATTTCTGCCAAAATAAAAAAAAAAAACTAAAGAGAAGAAAAAGTTTTAAAAGTATTTTTGGACCGAAGAATAGAAAAAATTTCTTTTTCATTAGGCCATATTTGATTTTGGTTGGAGGTATAGGGGCGCAAAACCATAAAATTCTAGGAAAAATTGCGCAGGTAGAAAAAAATTGTAGATAATCCCAAAATGGATTTCAAATACAAAACAATCCACAAAAATTAACACTATTTAAATCAATTCTGAAACGTGTACATATATGAGCAAGTTTAAAAACGGAGAAAACAGAATTTTAAATTAAAATTTACGTCCAATTGTAAGGTATTGTTGTACCTTAAAAAAATAAACATACCAAATTTCAACTTGTTTAATCCGAAGGAGATCGGAGGAAGCTCTTTAATGTAGCGGAAAGTTACATATACATAAAACCGTGTTCATACGTCTATCATTTTACCATTTAAACAATACATAAAAATAGAGATGCGGTGAAATTCATAAGTGATAGACAAATAAATAATTAAAGAGTTATATGAAGTAAGTAATAATTTTCTTGATTAAAGATCTCTTTACCTTTTTACAGAATGCTCTTGCCATTGGATCGATGGAAACTGAAGAAGGTAATCTACTTAAGTGTAGGGTATACAACCTATAAATTCTCTCCAGAGCTCAGCGAACAAACGGTGTCTACACACTTTTGGACAAACATCAAACAATAGGAGTTGTATGGGATGCTAAATGTTGCATGTCCTGCAGACCTACCCCCTCTCTACCACACACCCTTAAAACGTCCGTTTGTTGACAATGCTCTGTTTGTTGAATTACGATAAACTTCCTGTTGTTGTTCAAACTCCATATGTTGTATCGCTTAAAAATTTCACGCCCTTCACTAAGTCGGATAATAATTGGTTATCTTGTTTCTTTTATCTCAACATTATATTAGTAATAGTCTCGGGGTAAAACCTTATCTGTCTTCTTAGAGATAAGGTATTTTTGTATAGTTTATAGTGAGCATGACTATGTATAAATAGATAAATATTTAGCAAACAAAAAAACAAAATCGTGTAATTTTTAGACATTGATAAAGAATAATATATGTAAATTTGAGATATTTTCAATCAGATTTAACCCTTATTATTCAAAGTTTTGTTTATGGCAATTTCCTAAACTTAAACTAAAAAAGTAATCGTTAAAGTAAATGTAAAAATATCCAATGTGAATAAGAAATGTATTATTTAATTTTGAATATTATGAAAGAAGAAATACAAAACAAATATTTAAGAATCGTTATGCAGCCAGGAATGATATTTTAAAATACTTATAATAAACCGTGGTAAACTACGATTGTAAAATCACAGAATAGATTAATTGTGTAATTTATATAATAATTAAATGAACTGTAATTATCACTTTATTAATAAATAAAATAATTGTAAAAAGAAAATTATATGAAATTATTTTTTGAAGGCATGTTCAAAAAATAATAAATAAAATATTTAAACAATCATAAAATATTCTTTTTGAAGCCACAATTGAAATATAAATTGTTATTTTTCCAAATTACCTGTTTTCAAGAATCATTGTCTTTTAGCGCTTACTGGATTATAGGTCGAGTCTTGTTAGATTCAAGCCATAATTTAAAACGATATTTAGTAATGGATGGTGTAATAAAGTCCAAAAAAATATTTCTAGATTAAAAATAGTAAAAAAAAAAAAAAAAAAAAGAATTGATTTATAAGATACAAAAATATTTTTAGGACATCGTTGGGAATAGAAAGCTTTAACTGTCACAAATAATTGAATTTATAGTTTTTAAAAATTAATTTATATTGATAATTATTGATAACAATAAGAAATTTATAATTGATAATTGATTTACATATTATACATATCGTTTGCATGGAAGAAGAATGCCATAAAATTGGATATTTTTCTATTCAATAATATTCATCTTTTTTGTTTAAAAAGGTGAATATTAATATTGAATTTTAATAATCTTATTTTTTTTTTGACAATTTAAGTATAATTATGGATTTAAATTGTATGTTTTATTATATTAAAAGTATAGGTGAATAGGACATTTTCCAGTGAAAAAGACAGAAAAATGAAAATTGTTGCACAGTGGAACTCTTCTTTCAAACGAGCTGTATCATTAATTGTCAAAGTTAACGATTAAAAATATTTTCAAACAAATAAATTTTGAAAAAGATATACAGATGTAGGTATTTATTTAGATGGTCAATTTAAACAATAATTAAGGGCCGAATAAGTAAGTTAATTGAGAGTAAACGAGAAATTAATTAAATTAAGATAACTAATGAGGAGATGCCTCGGAGAAGAACAGCCCCATTTACGATGAGACCATACTCAGGGCTAAAGACATTAACACCAGCGTTAACCGAAGGGCCGCTAAAGTGTCATTTATACCTTGGTCCCTTCCTAAGGGCTGATTTGTAGGGACGCCACTTAGCGCCTTCAGCCCTATCTCATGCCTACTTACCACCACTTTACCTTAAGTCACCGCTTTTTAAGGAACTAAACTCAATCACATTTCTAATATAAATCATGTTCCAATATTTATTTAAATTAAAAACTATACTAATCCAAGTAGGTTGAGTATAGCTTTCTCACCATTTTTATTGGGTATATAATTACCTATATTTTAAGGTACATTATTTTTTCTCTTTGTGAATGACATTTACGACTATTTTAAGTATACGCTTCTCCAAGAAATGCACCAATAGATTTTCCTATGAACAGGCTTGGTTGTGGATGGAATTTGATAAAATTGATCAGGGACCAGCTACATACCAAACTCGCACAAGACATGGATGATTTCATCTATATCGGATTAAAGTTAGCGTGTTAGATTGATTTGACTACCGACACACACATGAGTAGATATGGAGTAGCCGAGATGCCTTATGCGCGTGCAAAACATGCGTTGCCTAGTAACCTGATTGATTGAAGATAACATGATAAAATAATTACTTGTTCCAATTCTGGAGGACTTCTACGATGAATGACAATCTTCCGCTTTTCCCTACGGCATGGCAATAATCTCTTACATGTGGACATCTTTTATGGATCCAGCACACTTCCAAGTAAGGCGAAGAAGAGGAGCAGTTACAGGAAGACTACCAGCAGCGATGTTAAAAACGATGTTGGCAAACAGTGCCAAGTCAAACACCTCTAAACAGATCAAGAAATAAATAAATGATTAATTTTCAATCCCAGCGCGAATAATAGACAGCATATAACACCCCCTCCCTTTCGGTAGATAAGAAATAAAATATATTTAAAAAAAATTATTAGTTAAAGAAGCAAATTATTTATTAAATTGATAGTAAAAATTTTAAAAATCTGATGTGCGCAACACACAACTTTCACTTACCGCTCAATTTTGAATAGAAATTATTTTCTGGCCATGTTGGTCTATTATAAAATTTTTGAATTGCATTTTTAAATAGCTAAAGATAAAAAATTACAGCTGACAAATCATAAATACTATAAAAATAACAAAAGTCCTATTTATTATATCACCGGTTGATAATTGATTGTAGGATGAGTTGATTATGGATAGCACGATCCGTTGATTATGGATATTACAACTATTAGTTATTAAACTGTTATATTTTATTGCAAAGTTTACTAAAACGGAATTAAGAGATTTGCATTGTCTGTCATAAACAGGTCGAAAGTCAAAAGTTATTAAAGTAAATATATTTAAGGTTATAAACCTATCTATGAAATATTTTTATATTTCGCTTCTTCTTTCACTCAAGTACAATGAAATAATAGTGGATATTGTTGAAATATCATAAAGGGTAGATTCCTCAAATTATTCCATGATTTAATTATCTGTTATATTCCATTGCAAAATTTACTAAAACGGAATTAAGAAATTTCCATTTTCTGTCATAGACAGATCAAAAGTTGTCACACTAATTGTAAATGGATACTGTTGGAATACCACAAAGGGAAAATTCATCAAATTATTCACTAATTTAATTTTTTAAAAGGTTACATGACAATATTTCGCAATAAACGGACGTAGATACCTAATTATTTAAATATAATATCAGATCTAGAATTATTAAACTACAGTAAATGTATTTAAGGTTATGAACATATGCTTTATACATCCCCGAAATGATTTTATATACTTCTTTTTTCACACAAGAACAATGAAATAGTTTTTTTAGCAATGTCATTGCCTTGATTAGGTGGATTTTAAATAATTTTTTCAAGCCTGAAAATATTTTAAATTTTTACATTTAGTTGGTAAATTTCATTTAATTTCCTTGAAAACATGTGATTTACGTTAAATGTTATAAGTTTTCAAAAATTATTATTTATAATTTTTTCGCCACTCTCCGTTACATTCTACAACTTTTTATATTAGATCTTGTTTTTTTCTAAAACTCTTCTCTTTCCAATGATATATCATACCTTTTGACTAGTATTTCCGGAGATTTATTTTCGACATGGCTAAGCAGTTTTATTTTTTTCTCCTTTATTCAATTATCAAATTCTTTGAAAAGTAATATTTATCATTTTTTTCGTAACTCTAAACAATGAGAGATAGTTAATTATTTAAAATAAGCCATATTAAAGGTACTTTAGAGGAAGGCGCATATGAACATTAGGCATTTAAGCCATGTAAAGTGACATCAACGGGTATAAGACTTAAAAGATATTAAAGACCAGTTAATTATACAATAATACACACAGTTTAATCAAAATCGTTAGAGCCGTTTTTGAGAAAATTGTGCTTCAGCGTTGATATAGAGCAGCACTTCCGGTCAGCCGATTTTAAGAAAATAGTTGCTATATACCTATCTTAAATTCGTAATATCGTAATTTTCGTTTTTGAGCTAGACTGCTAACATACACACACACGTTTTTCGGGACTTGGTTATTTGGACACAGGGTACTCCAAAACGTGTATTTCTGTTCAAAACTCAGATTCAAAAATGTTCACGATCGTAATAATTACCCTCACTTTATATTACATATATACGTAAGTGAAATTAAGAATTTTAATTAGAATGATTGAGGAGTGAGTAAAGTACAAAATGATAAATAATAAAAATAAAATAGTAATAGTAAATAAACTGTTCGTAAAACAATATACCGTTAAATGAACTTGAAATCCTGAATCGGTAACAACTCAAAATGAATAATAAAATTTTTTGTATAATTTTCATAATTTTGTATGTTTTCCTATAAGCAACACTCGCCATTACAACACACAATTATACAAACCTCCGAAAACCCCAAACTGAGGTCAGCTACCTTGGCAAGCCAACACACTTATAGGATATTAATCTTACTTCAACCCTTAATTGGGTCCGTAATTTCCATATCTTAGGGCGCGGTCGATAAGTGAAGTTGCTACTGCCTCGGTAAGGGTCGGTCGAATGGGTCTGGGAACCTAACACAACTATTTCAGATCCAATAATTAAATCTAATAAAATTACTTGAAACTAACTCTTTTCAATGTTACTCGTAAATCTTGATAATCAGTAAATACATTATAATCAGATATAAACAGATATCTTACAAGATTACAGTGAGTCAACCTCTTTTATTTTTTTACTAATATGTTTTAGTTATTATCTATTTTACTTAAAAGAATACTTTTTATTATTTAGGGATTGTGCAACTATTTTGTTTTTATAAATATATTTTTCATGGATAGCGATAAGCGTATTCATTTAATTCTAATAACGTTTCTATTTCTATATCTGATGAGGTGGGACGTTAGGAACTTCAATTTAACAAGAAGCTGACACGAAGAATCCGTACAACACTAAATCCATTAGTCGCCACTGGTTTGCAAAACCAGTGACGCGGCTGGGAGAGCACTGGGATCTCCTGGGGTCCTGCCTTGGCTTCCACATTTGGGGGGACAAAGCATGACTCAGAATCCTCTGGGCGAGTTTAAATATTGTATATAGGTGTGAATGTGTTTTATATATTTCAATTTCATTTAGCTTTTCTCTATTTTTTATTTATTTATTTTTTTTATATTTCGTTTTACCTATGTATGTTAAAATATTTTTCTTTTATCTCTATTTCAGTTATCATTTGTATGTATATCAGTATTTGGACCATTATCCAGTTTATTTGACAGACGCTCCAAATTATCTGTAGCTAACAAATTTTCCACCTAAAGTTTCTAGGGATTGGGAACAGAGCTAAGGGGCATTGTGAAAAATAGCGGACCATCAAATAGCGGGCATCAAAAAGCGAGACCGAAACGGGTCTTGGTCTTGCAAACGCAGTCTTGGTCATGGTCTTGGTCCAGCGCAAGAGTATCGCAACAGTCTTGCAGTTACTTATTAGCTCATTATTATAGATATATTACTGTAATTTTGTAGATAGAAGAAACCTAACTAAGCCCGAATGAAAAATTAGAGCAGTTAAATGCAAAAGAATATTGGTTATACCAATTATAACACATAGTAACTAAGATTGTCAAGCATTACTAACTATTTTGCCTTAATTTTTATTCAAAAAAATCGATTTTTTTTACCAGTCCTGGTCTTGGTCTTGCAACAGTTAGGCAGCCTTGGTCTTGGTCTGGCAAAGTGCAAGACCAAGACCGATTTTGGGCAACACTAGACATAGACATCCAGACGGTCCTCGCGTCTTGTTGTTCTAAAGGTACATTCAAACCTATTCTAACAAGAGTGAGAAGTTCGATGAATTTGTCTATTCATCCAGGTTCCGTGAATTTGCCAAGAAATAAATTTTAACCCGCACTGGCCAGTTTCGAACCGGCACCGCTAGACTCGAGAATGTTATAGCAAGCAACGATTCTACCTGAGACTGACTTCAAACACGAACCCTTTGCCCCAAGCATTTATATCTCCGTTACATCCACAGATCCCCTCCCCCTCTCCGACGACATTTAAGATTGGAGACAAGAGATTTTTTAACTTAATCTCAAAAGATCAATAATCGGATAATAATGGTCAATAAGGTTAATAATCGGATGGTTCCGAAGTCAAGACTTTAATACTGTCCAACTCCAGAGGATCGATTTCCCAAGGAGCTCAAGAAGATTGATGCACATCCATTTACCAAATTACGGCCATGATAAGGGCTAGATCCAAAGATCTCAGCAACATCCACCGCTCTGGCCCAATCGGATGATAGAAAGCGACAAAAGTATCTTCTTCCGCGGGGCAGATTTCCCGACCATCCGAAGCCGGAAACCCCATTCACAGTTTCCCAAGGATAATTGAGCCAGCGGCGAGTCCTTTTTATTGAATCCTTTCTTGCCGAGGTCCTTTGTCCTTGCTCCTCGACCGTCACACAGCCACAGCTGCAGCGAGCTAATGAGAGTGCCTCCTCGGCCTATTATTTGTCGCTTCATCTTTGTACCGGCGAGGCCGAAAAGAGTCCGTATGCTGAGCCATATTGATTATGAGCGAGTACTTCCGGAAAATTATCCCGCTCTCCTAAAAATGGCTTCCTTGACAAATCCCTCATATATTTTACCAAATCCACAAGTATATCAGCTGTCAAATTACAAAGATAAATATTTAGAAATATCTCTCCCTTTTTTATTGCGGATAGTGGCGTTTCGATCCTAAGTTGTGAATCATTATCGAAACTAAAATGAAATAAGCAATAAAAAAATAATGATAGTTAATTTTGATGACAGCTACTTATTTATAATATTTATCTAATCTGTTCCTCACATACATATTTAAACAAATCATTTTTTTGTTTATTATTTTCAACTCTGAACTATTGTGATCGACCAAAAAATCTAAAACTTAATTCTCTCTCAAAATTTGAGGTTTCAGGATACGTAGAATTCGAAAAACGAATACAAAATTTTTTGTCCGTCCGTCGTCCGCGAATTTTCTCCGAAATTACTGGACCGATTTTTTTCAAATTTGGATATAAAATCAGAGGTCACCCGGGAATGATCCTCCTTCATCGACATTACTATGCCTTTTACTTTCAGGAAAACCTGCGTCATTATAGATTGTAGCGACTTAACGAATGTACCGATTTCAATGAAACTTCGCAAAAGTAATTTCCTCGACGCCCTTTACATTTATCTATATAACATACTTCAACCAAAAGAAGCTGGAAAAAAAGTTCCGAGGGATGGTAAAATTAAGTTCTAAATAACTCAAAAAGTATACACTTTTTTTGTGAATATTATG